GTATTTTCCGACCACCTCCCTGCTCCCACCTCCCCTCCCCTCCCGCCCCGGCACAGTGCCCTCCAGGGCCCCCAGGGCAGAGCCAGGAGCCCTCACTCCTCACCTTTCTTGGGCGCTGGTGGTGCCGCCGCCCCCTCTGACGCCTTGGGCTTTTCGAAGGTTTTCTTGGCGTCGGCGACTGTCAGCACGTTCTCATCCTCCTGACTCTTCCTCCCCTTCCGCTCCGGCTCCTCCGAGCCCCCTCCTCCCGCAGTCCTGCCCCCAGGGAGCTGCTCAGTGCCTGCTGCCCACTGCTCCTTGCCAGGCTTGGCCTCGTCTCCGCAGGGCTCCAGCAGCGCCTCCGTCAGCGCCACAGCCTTGCTCATACTCAGAGCCAGGCTCTCCTTGCTGTGGGTCCTGACCGGAGGGGCCGGGGGGGTTCTTTTCTGGATGTAGGAATCGAGCATCCCTGTGTCAGCTTCCCCTCCCAGCTGCTCCCAGCTCTCCGGGAGCTGGCTGCTGCTCTGTCTCGAAAGCCTCCCAGTGTCCCTGGCCGCTGAGGGATAATTTGGGACAGCAGACACCATTCTCTCCAGGCTCTTTGCTACCTGCTTGTCTGGCTCGTGCTTCTTGGTCGGATCCTCCTCGCTGGCCTGGCCGTTCTGGCACAGGTCTGGCGTTCCCTCGGGCTGGGGGGAGAAGCTCCGCGCCGACCTGAAGCTCTCGGCTGCCTTGCTGTCCCTGGGGATGTAGGAGAGAGATGCTGCTGCCTCGTGTTTATTTTGCAGGATGTAATCCATGAGCTCGAAGCTGTCGGACCTGACGGGGACCGTGGGCTTGTTCCTCTCCGAGGGGCAGTTCAGGCTCAGTTTGTTCACCTGCCTGCTCTCCACGCTGCTCTCTGAGTCCGAACGGCTCATCTGCCTCCTCAGGACCCCTTGGAAAGAATTGAGCCTGTTCAGGCTTGGACTTGCCACCTTCCCATCCCCTGCATAGTCCTCCTGAATCACGAGCACCGTGTCCTCTGTCTCTTCCCATTCCTCCTCAGGTTCTTCTTCTGCCTCCTGGATGAGGCGCCGGTACTCGCTCTCCTCCAACCTGTAAACCACCGGCCTCACCGTCCTGCCCGTGCGCCTGGGCCCCACCTCCATCTCATACACCTTCGGAGGGGCTTCTCCGTCCTCCCCTCTCCTGCACCCTTTGGACATGGGATGCTCTTCTAGGCACAGGTCCCCCGGCAGTCCTCTCTGCCCGTTGCTGCTCATCTCCGACCTCCTGGCAGGGGCCCTGGTGTCGCTCCGGAGCTGGAGGAGGTCCCCTCTCTCCAGCCTGTTCCCCAGGCCCTCCTGGCCGAGCTGCCGCCGTGTACAATCCTCGCGTGTTCCCGCGGAGTCTCCCTGGGAAGCAGCGCAGTCTCTCCCCCTCTTCTTGCTTGTGTCATCCCGTAAATATCCACAGTACTGCCAGGTGGAGGCTTCCATGGCCGGCAGCTCCGTCACCGTAATTCCTGGTTCCAAATGCTTTGAGAGTGGCCAGCCAAGATTTCTCCCCACCTTGGGTCTGGGCAGGCTGTCGGCACCGCCTTCTCCTTGCTCCGCTAAGGCAGAGACGGCGGCAGTTGGAAGCGTCGGAGCCTGGGTCATGTGAACCGGCGTTCCTTGGCCTCATGGCCAGGAGAGGAACATCCCGTTGGCACGACGGAGCGCGACAGCACCCGGCACAGCTGATGCTGCTTTGGTCCCTACCCAGATATATCCCACCTGGATAACTGGAAAAGCACACCCCCAGCTGCTAATATGCTGGTCCGTGGCACTTCACAGCCAGGACTTGCTTCCCATCTGCATCCTTCTCCAGGGATTCTCCTCTCCGGCAGCTTCCCCGTGGGTCTCACGGAGAGCTTGGAAAGCCGCATCCGTGCCCCTGGCTCTCCTCCCTGCCTCCCTGCCCTGCGCCCGGGGACGCGGAGCGGCTCCCCCAGCGCTCCTTCCTTGGAAGCGGCGCTGCCTTGGGCTGCGTCCCAGTGCCTGGGGGAGAGATGCAGCCTGCACAGAGCACGCGGGGCAGGGACGGGGCGGCTGGAAGGATCCCGGGAATACGTTACTGCGAAGGGAATTGCTGTGACAGAAAAAGCCTGCCTGAGATAAACAGGAGCCCGACGGCAGCCCCAGATACAACTGTCCCTGCGGAGACTCCCAAACAGAACTTATCAAAAATCCCTTTTAACACCTGGGCATTTCTCTAAGTAACCCTCCGAGCAGAACGTTCCTCCCTTTGGATAACGCTCCGGAAGGCGCTGGAGCCGGGGAGCTGGAGGGCTCTAATCCGTTTGTACACAGCCGGGATGCCTGGCATTGCAGCGAGCCGCGGCTCCCGGCCCGGCTCCCAGCCCAGCTCCCAGCTCAGCCACTGCCCCAGAGCTTTGCCTTTTATGGTTCCCCGAGCCGGGAAGCATCCCGAGGCGGGATGTGGGAAAACACCTGATGGTCCCAAAGAGGCGCCTGCAGAGGCACCTCCGTGGTGTCAGGGCTGAGTTACCCTGGTGCTACCCCAAGAGCCGGCAAACAGCCCCCAGGACCTGCCTGCTGGCTCCAGGCCAAAGGCATCCCCTGACATTCCATAGGGCTGGAAAATCCTACCAGCACCTCCATCCAGACCCCCAGGGACCCCGGCAGCCCTCTGAGCACTCCCACAGGCTGCGTGGGTCACGATGCCACCACCTTGTCCCTGTCCCATGATCCATTTCAGGAGTCAGTCCTGGCTGCTGCCGGAGGGAAGGAGTGAGGGATGACGGTTATCCCAGCCCTTATCGGCCCGGAGCCAGCCAGGCCCCTCGTGGGGACAGTTCTTTATCAATGCACGTTGCAGAGCTGCTCTACAGCGAGACAAAACCCCGTTTGTTACCACTGGAAGTCTCAAATCCCTGCCAATGCTACCCAGAGCAAACACAACTGATTCCCAACGGGATTGGGAGCAGTAGCTGGGCTCCCGATGCTCTGGCATGAGGGGGACGTGGCAGCACCAGTTCTGGCAGGTCGAGGAATGCTGAGCAAGATGTGCTGAGAGGTGTGTGAGTAAGGAATTCCAGAGCCAACCTGTCACCTGAGCGAGATGAACTCACTCAGTGTTGGCACCATGACCTGATCAATAATTCAGGTGTTTCCCCTCGAGCTATCAGTTCCCCACAGCAAAGCCAAATTCACTCCAGGCTTCTCACAACCCCTCGTGATTTGGGGGTATCGTGGTGGGTTTGATTGGAGCTGTATGGGGGTCACAGAGCCCAGGGTTGGTGTGGAACAGGCACAGCTGGGTCTTTGGGCCTGCCCCGGGTGTTCCAGTGAACTCTCGGAACTGTGACATGGCTCTGATGGTTCTGCTCCTGAACCCTCTGCATAAAAGGCAATGGCAGCTGCTGCAGCGTTGCCACTGCCCCATCCTTCAAACTGAGAGAGGAAGAGACTTTTAGGGAATGTGCAACGAGGCCGGAGCAAACCCGGCCGGCAGCGCAGCCCGGGCTGTGCCCGCTGCAGGAACCGGCTCCTCTGTCCTCGGCACCATCAACCTGCAGCTTCTGCTGAGGAAAATATTTACATTTCCGCCTCTCCAGAGGCCAGTGCAGCTGTTCTGCCACAGCCCAGAGGGAAGGGACATGGAGACATCGCCCTGAGGCTGCAGGAGAACGACTGCCGGGCAGCAGCTTCTCTGCTGCAGTCACTGCTGCTGGACAAGTGCAGCAGCAACCCTGGGAGTCCTTCCTGTGCCTTCTGCGTGTGCCACACAACCTGTACTGCTCATGAGCCAAACCCCGTCTTTTTGCCCAAAAACATCATTAAAGTATCTGCTCAGCACCCAGCCCCACACAGAGCTGGGAAACGCTGCCAGCAAACCCATTTCTTCCCATCAGAGGGCCCTTGAGGAGACACCGCTCAGCTCCTTTCCGATAGCGCTCAGTGCCACCTGCAGCTCCTCCAGGCAGGAGGAACCTGTGCCTTCCCACCACCCCAGTTCCCAACCAGGAGGGCACTTAGTGCCAGGCTGCTCCTGCCACGGCCTGCCCAGGGCAGCTCCACGCTCAGGCATCTCCTCTCGCCAGCGGGGCTATAAATAAACCCTCCACGGTCACCAGAGGGAAGTTGTGTTGCTCCAGATGTTGCCTGGTTTTGCCATAGCAACATCACAACAGGAGGGAACAAACTGCTCCAAAAAGAACCAACTTTCAATCAAAACAAGACTAAGAAAAGTCCCAGGGACTCACCGGCAGCCCAGCCACCCTCCGGCCCATCCTGTGCTCCTGGCCTGTGGTGTCCCTCACACAACCTCCTGCACCCACCTCGGGAGCTGGGAACAGCTCCGTGGGGAGGCTCCGTCTTCGGGAAGCCAAGCTGAGCAGGGAGGGATGTCTTGTGACCCAGCCAAGGGATGTGTGAGTTAAATGGGCCAACAGCAAACTGACCCCAAAATGGCACTGACTCAGGGACAAGCTCTGCCCCAGGACCTCAGACACACCAGTGGGAAGCTGCTGTCTCCCCATCCAGAGCTCCAGGGCTCCCAGCTCAGCACGAGCTTCCCAGCACTGCCGTGGCTCAGCACTGGAGAGAATTAACCCCAGGGTGTACGAGCTGCACACACACATAGGCACACGGTCCCGCTGTTTTCCTTCCCCTGCCATCATGTCAGCACATATGGGCAAATCCAGGAAGGCCTCGACCCCCAGCCAAGTGCTCCGTGCCAGGGTCCCTGTCCTCCACCAGGGCAGGACAGAGCCAGTTCCAGCCCCTGGTGCTTCCCCTCACCAAGGCAGAGCTGCTCCCACAACTGAGATCCACCTCTTCACCAGGGACACCCTCAGGTGGAGGGGATCCAAACCCTCCCAAGCCCACAGCAGCGAGCCCAGGGCTGTGTTACCTCAGCCACTGAACTCACCCCCTGACTCCGTGCCCTGAGCTCCAGGCACGGGAGGAGCCGGCAAATCGGCATCGGGAAGTGCCCACCTCCAAAAAAAAAAAGCTGCAAAACTCGTTGCATAAAGAAACAAAAAAAACCTTTATTTTATTCCTCACAAGAAGCACATAAAATATTCAGGACATTCTTACAAACAAAAGTAAAAAAAAAAAAAGTGCATGATGCATCATTCCCTCCCGCGGACGTACAGTACAAAAATCCCGCCGATTCCAATACAAAACCGGGATTCAGAAATACCATGGGATTAAAGGACCCTTGTTATCACAGAGGACAGCAATGCACAGGAACAGCTACACGTTACTCACCCCCCTCCTCGCAGGCTGACCAGGACGGGTCCTGCTGGGACACGGCCGAGCCAAACCCCACCTGCACGGGAAGGACCCCCAGGAGGTCGGGCACTGCCACCACACGGACCGACAGCACCTGGACTGGGAATAAGGTGCCGGTTTGTGCATTTCGGGATTCCTGGCAGGACAGGATTGGGTTTGGATCCGCCGAGCAAAGCGCAGCCGGTGATGGGATGTGTCCCCGCACACCCCACTCGTGTTTCGGCAGCAATGCATAGATAAACGGGATAAATGAGATAAATGGGATAAATGGGTATAAACAGGGACACCAGGAGCAGCCGAGCAGCCCCCGGCTGTCCTTTGGTTCTGCCATACCCAGAGGGAAGTGGTAGCAGGTGAGCAGTGCTGAGCTCGGCAGGGATGGCAGGGTGGGTGGGATGCAGGGAGGGGAACGGTCTCACTGCCACCAGAAACACCAAAAGCACCAAAAACTCCCCAAAGAACAGCAAACAGCAGAGTTGAACAGCTCAACAGATACACAGTGTTTGTAAACTATGAGTAAGGCACTCTGTTGTAAGGACACGTGGGGAGGATGAGCACATCGACCTTCTCATGCAACAAACCCAACGGGACCACACATGGTGCAGGTTTGGCTACAACCCCCTGGGAATGGCACAGCAGCTTCCAGGCCAGCTCCCACTAAATCCTGCCTCTATCCCGTGACACAGCGAGGGAGCACAGGGCCCAGTGAGGGAAGTGCAGGGTTGATCCAGCAAGAGCTGAGTGAGAGCAGCAGCAGGCGAAGGCGGAGGGAGCCGAGCTGTGCCCTGGAACGAGGGGGTTGGGTCGGACATGGTGGGCTGGACGCGGCAGAACTCGGCAGGCACTCGAGAAACAGGAAGGAAATCACATGTTCACCCGCAGCAGTTCATGGAACCTTCTGAACTTATTCAAATCCGACCCTGTGCCTCCTCCCTCGGCCAGACAGGGATGGGAAGGGTTGGCAGCACAGAGAAAAGTGACCCTGCTGGGGTGACACTGAGGGTTCACTGGGCAGGAGCCCCTGAGGCTCCCCCAGGTGCCACTCTGAGCCCCATGGCACCCAACAGCCCCGGGGCCTCCCATCTGCCCTTCCCAAATCCCAGTCTGGGTGTACAGCAGGATGAAGATGACACAAGCCTAGGCGATGGCTCGCAGTGATCCGGCCATGCCGTGTTCCCGGCTCACTGAAGGGGTTTCATCCTGCCCTGAACTCGACCTTGCGGTTCCTCGGCCTGAAGAGGCTCCTGCACAACTTCCCTCCTGGAGCAGCTCGTGCTCCTCACCAGCTCTCTGGGGTGAAACAAGTGCAAATCAAATTCAGGCTCCCTCAGGAGTTTATTTACTGATTGCTCATCCCTACACGTCCTCACACAAAAGAAGCGTGAGATCTTACGCTTAAGGGAAGAAGAGGGAACTCTGGGCATTCAGGATCAGATAAATCCACAGCTCCCTTCCTCAAGACACTGGATTTTGGATTAACTAGTTCAGACTGGTTGCTGAAGAAAGAAGAAAGCCTTTCCACAGGGATTTTAAAATGTGGGAGCGCTCACACTCACAGCCTGGTTGAGCAAATCCACCACTGAGTTCTCAGATCTGTTCTGTCCCCCAAATCTGCTTCAAAGTATCACCTGAAGGCACAAGCAGCCAATGTGGCTTCAGATGGGAATCGGGGAGCACTGAGACTTGGGGAGTGTTCCCTGCACACTTCCCAAGGTCTTCCCCCCGCATTCAGCCAGGGCTTGCACAGAGCAGCTCTTGACCAGGCTGGCTGTCCAAAGTATTCCAAAAAAACATGCATATGGAATGGGGGCACTGCTGCAATCCAAGCATCAGCCCCGGCACAAGGGGGAGCACGTGGTAACGCCAGACCTGGGGGGTACACGGGCAAGTCCCAGCTGCCCCCCTTCCTCCAGAAGGAGATCTCATCCTCACCTCCAACACCCCTCTCCTCAGAGCACACACGTATTTCTGTCTGACTGCTCCCCCTCAGCAGGATTTACGGGGCTTTCACAGCCCTGTGAGGGCTGGGACACGTCCAGCTGGGCTCCTCACTCCAGGGCCACCCAGGCTCCCGACACCCGGTGTAAATAACACCCTGGACTCCACCAGCAGCTCCCCAGGCTGCTGGGAAACCCAGGACACAGCAACTCTTTTACAAAAGCAACAGTAACAATCAGAAAAGACACGGTCACTTCCTGGGATTTCAGCAGAGCTGACCCTCCTTGGCCATCTCCTGTCACCCACAGCCAACAGAGGGTCCCAACACAGGATCCACGACACCAACACAGCATCACATCACGGGCTCCACGGGCTCTGTCAGCACTGGGACATCACAGACCACAAGGACAGCAAAAACACCCCAAAAACACAACACCTGGGACAGCCACACAGCCGGGGTCACATCGGTCCCACTGTCCCCACAGACACAGCTCCTTCACCTCCCAGCCACAGCCCCAGGGCAGCCTCCACGTCCACACTCCTCCAGGCCTTTACAGCCAACACCAAGGGAATTCCTTCAAACAACAGCAAGAATTCTGGGAAAAGCCTTTCGGATAAAAAACTCAACCAACAAAGCAGGACAAAAAGCCAGCGGGAACAGAGGTAGTGTGCGTGTCACCATCTTAAGGATTTCCCACAAGTGCCCTGTTCAGAGCCTTGTGTTTGCTCTGTAAAAAAAAGAAGTCATGAATAATTATTCTGAGTCTTTGAAACAGAACATTTCAGCATTTTAGATATAGATAGAGATACAAATATCTATCCATAACCACACACAAATCCACGTTATTACACTTGGCAAACAGTACTAGGAAGAGCATCCTGCAGGACAACAGGCAAGTCACACACCAAGGCCTCCTCCAAGCCATGCAACACATTTGATTTCCCTTGTGCCCTTCACGTGCCCCATCGTGGTTCTTTTTGCCCCCCTCTCGGAGCACAGGGAGGGGACGAAGAGGTGGCATTGGATGAACTGCTGCAAGTCAGATGATAAAACTGCATCGGTGCAATGAATAAATGCTGTAACACCCCCCCCCCCAAAATCCAGCCCCCTCCTCCCCTCCACAGGAAGCATCAACTTTTGCCCATCCAAAGCACGCTCTTCAAGTTCCCTCCCGCCGCCTTCAGCCCCGGTTTGGAGGGGCCGTCCGTGCCGCTCAGGGAGGGCTGTGGCTCACAGAACACGGAGCACTCGCTGGAAACGGCCTCTTTGGAGTCTGTTACAGTGGACACGTCCACGTCACTCGACAAGTCGTCGGAGGACAGGTTAAGACAGCCCAGTTTGGCGAGGGAATTGGACCTTTTGAGGGGCGAGGACACGGTGAGGCCGGCCAGGCGCAGCCGCGTCTCGATCTCCTGCGTGCGCTGCTTCACCAGCCCGGGCTTGCCCCGCACGCTGTGGATGCTGTCGCTGCTGGAGCTGCGCGTCAGGTTGGAGCTGCGGGACGAGGACGGGGTGTAGCAGATGGTCTTCAGGAAGTCCTTGGTGAAGCTGCTCGTGTGCTCCAGGCGGCACACGGCCGGCGTGGAGGTTCTCTGGGAGACCCCCTCCAGGATGCGTTTCACCTCCAGCCTCTCCATGTTGTTCTCCGCGTCTCCGAGCACCATCGGGGCCGGTGCCAGGAGGGGCACGAGGCCGGGGTGGGACATCATGTCCTCGCTTTCCTCCACGATGCTGGAGCCCACCCTGTCCCGGAGCAGTGCCGAGGCGTCCGAGGGCAGGCTCTTGAGCCGCTCCAGCTCCTTGGTGTGCTTCCTGACCAACCCCGCCTTCTGCAGCTGGATCAGCGACTCCTGGTGCTGCATCAAGTAGCTGTTGGCGCTTGGCTTGTCCAAGTCTTTGCTGAACAACAGGTACTTCGGGTCCTTGGTAGGTCTGGTGTCCTTCTTGGCCAGAGACTCCTCCCTCACCACCTGAGCTTGAAGGAGGCTCCTGTCACAGTGGGAGTTTCTCCTGGGCAGCAGAGTTTTCTCCGGGGTTTTTGGCGCATCTTTTCCTCTCTCCAGAACACTGCAGTGCTGATCCAGTGACCTGCACGTGCCAGCCTCCAAAGTCCTGGCTCCCGGCACCATGGGAAGTGCAGCCTCGCTATGTTTAGTTCTGATTGCCTGCTCTGGATGTGCCCTGGCGGGCAGGTGGTCCAGCAGGTTGGAGTGGAGGTGGGACAGGAGGGCTGGCTGCGTGCAGATGGTGGTGCTGCGCCGCGCAGGGTTCAGCTTCTCACACTGCTCCCCAAAGGGGTCGGGGGACAGCCCAGCTGAGGAGTACATGCAGTCAGTGCAGGACTGGTAGGGAGGCTTCACCTTGCTGAGGATCCCAAACACAGCGTCGTGCTGCAGGAGAGAAAACAGGGGCAGATCAGTGGGCACAGAACACACACCAGCGACCAGCACAGGGTGTATTTACAGCCAAGCAGCTCTGAAACAACAAACATTTCCACCTCAGGCCCTGCAGCAGGAGCTAAAGCCATGTGCTTTCCCAGCAGACAGTGTCTCCAAGGAATACCTACCGTGCCAAGCGAGGGTCATGCAAGCAACTGCCCAAAGCACTTTACAGGGCACTCACGTGTGCACTCCTGGCATCTAAATCCACAGCTCGGGCAAGCAAAGCCCTGGTCAGAAGCACTTCGAAAGGGAAGAAGCTCATCATGGAATGAAAGGCTTTATCCAAGTCAAATGAAACTGGGCTATGAGGATGAGAAGAGCAGTTTCACTTGCAGCAGAGTCAGCCATGCCAATCACCTCCATGTCACCTCCATACGCACCTCAAAATCCTCTGGGCAACTCCTTTTGCTGTTGTTGTTATTCAGGTTCTCCCTATTGAGCCTGCTCTCCTCCTTGTGCATGGACAAACGCCGCTTCCACTTCTCCATGGGATTCTCCTCCCTGACACCGTCCTCCCCTGGCTCCCCGAGGGCCATCCTTCCCTTCCTGGGGCTGAAGTCCATTTTCCTCTTCGCCTCCCTCTCGCAGCAGCTGCCCAGCTCTGCCGGCGGCTCCGCTCTCTCCGGGGCCTTTCCCATCTCCAGCAGCCTCCCCTGTGGCAGTGCAGATGGGGGCTGTCCCACCAACGCATCCCGCTCCAGCTGCTCCACGTGGAAAAAGCCCTCCCTGTCCCCGGGAACCTTGTTCTCCAGCAGCGTGTCTGAGAGGCGCCGGAAGCAGTAGTCGAAGCCCCCGGGCCCGTCGGTGCCGGCGCGGTTGTCCAGGTATCCCGACTGGGAAGGCATGTCCAGGTCAGCCAGGCGGTTTTCCAGGTCGATGTCCAAGCTCTCCAGCAGGAAGTCTCCCGAGCCCGTGGTGCCGTCGGTGTGCTGCGGCAGGTTGCTCTCCGCCTGCTGCTTCCACAGCTTGTTGTGGCGCTGCTTGCTGGGGAGAGGACAAGGACACGAGTGACTGTCCCGGAGCTGCAGAAGTGCCACGAGCTCCCCTCCCTCTCCACAGCCCAGAACCGAAGGGCTGGGTCCAGACCTAAAGTCCCATTTGGAAAAACCACCTTCAGCATCAGGATCTGTCCCCCCACCTGCCCACCCCACGGCAGGCTCAGAGCAGTGCCTCATGTGCCGCTGTGATGGGATCAGCCCTTGGGAGACCCCTCAGGGCACAGAACCCCCAGCAGAGCAAAACACTCCAACCCGACCCCTCTGCACGTGCCATGGCACAGCTCCTGCTGATCCAGAGGGACAGATTTCCCTCCTCTTCCCTTATTAGATAAATACTGCAGCCCTTCAGTGACAGAGCCCTGGGATTGGCACAGAACCTCTGACACGGCTGAGCTCACATGAGTTCTGCCTCATAAAGCACAAACAATGTGCTGAGCAGCACTGGCTGCTGAGAAATCCAAACGTGCCTCCCATGCGCAGAGAAACCCTCACTGAATTACACCACAGCAGCTCTCCCAGCTATTTTCCATCCAGGGAGCCTGGCACAGGAAAGGTTTAGGAACAACATGATTATCCCAGGATTCTGCCCTGCCCTTCCAAAGGGACCCTTCAGGCTACAGCCCCTGCACACTCTGCCCGTGTCTGTGGGCATGACACCGACAGAACCGCAGGGAGACGGATCAATTCTTTGTGGTGCTCCCCACAATTAGCTCCTTTACTTTCCACAAGCCGCCTTCCCACCTGTCCCCAGGCTTGCCTGGCATCCAGAATTCCCTCGTACTCCAGCAGCTGCCGCATGAAGCCGGCGTTGGGCCGGGCGATGCTGCGCTTCTGCTTCACGTAGTTGTAGGCCTTCTCCAGGGACCAGCCGAACTCCTTCATGGCGTAGGCAATGACCGTGGACGCCGAGCGGCTCACCCCCATCTTGCAGTGCACCAGGCACTTGGAGTGGTTCTTCCTGCACGAGGACAGACAAGAGAATCAGTCCCATATCTCTGCTTATGGGTCTGTTACCCTCCACACGGAGGAGGGACAGCGCTTCCCGCTCCTGCCCACCCCGACACGCTGGATCACAGGGGCCATGAGAAGAGTTCTCGTCCAGAAAAGCTGCGAGGTAGAAAAGGGCAGTCTCATTCATTTCAGAGACCACCAGGAAGCTTCCTGCCCACCCAAGTCTTTGGATACAGCAGGAAAAGGAGGAGTGTAATGGCCGAGCAGTGTTTGATGGGCTCTGTCACCATCTGTCTGCAGGGACAGCTGGGGCAGGCTGCACACTGACACGTGCTGGAGCAGCTCCAGAACTTCTCCAGAAGAGGAAACATCCTCGTTTCCTTTTGGAAGCAAAACAAAGCAGTAATAAAAGTGACAGGCAAGGAACAGGTTAATGCCAGCACAGGAAGAGACAAGGCACAGGGGAGTTCCAGGGACACAGAACTCCTGGCACAAAGCAGACGTGTGGCTTTGGGAGGGCCCAGCTCCACGCGGGATGAGACACGGAGGGTGGCTCGGATGTGCCCCCACACAAAGCCAGGGGTCCCAGGCACTCACTTGGCCTTGTTGATGAAGTGGTAGGCCTCGTTCCAGTGTGCCAGCAGGTCCGTGGTCTCCTCGTCGTACACGCGGATGTTGTGGTACGCAAACAACCCGGGGAAGAAGTTGTCGATCTCGCGGGTGACGTTCAGGATGTAGTCAATGCTGGGGGGAACAGGAGACACAGGATCAGCTGCCATGGCCAAGAAGAGCAACTGAGGGACACTGTGGATCCAGGAAATCTTACCCAACACACGCCATAAGGTTTTATCTACAGCCCTAATCCAAAAGCCCTGGGACACCCAGCAGCACAGGTGGTCATTCACCCACCCCTCACCATCAGCACCACACAAAGCACCCAAACACCCTGGGCACAGGAGGGAGAAGTTTATTTTATCCCACGTATTTTATCTGAGTCGGTGTAACCCAACCAGAAAGTCCTGGCTGTGCCACAGGGGATCCTGAAGGAAGAAAAGGGCATCGGCTGCAAGTGAATCATCTGGAAACAGAACCCAGGAATCACCACTTCCAACTGCAGGTTTTAGCTGCAAACCCACCCCTTTCTCTTCTTCACGACCAAAATCATGAGAGTCACATGTTATCTCTTGATTCCTGCCCAATATTACAGCAGGGATGACAATGTACCTGAGGAGAACCAATTGCACATTCATTTATCACCTCCTATCATTCAGACAAATCAAGGACACAGGATATTTGTCTCAGAATTTGCCCAGGTTTGACTTCAGACACTGCATTTCCCCAAGCAGAACAAAATTATTAACGCCCTGCTTGATTTACTTGTCCCAAGATGTCCAGACATCTGTTCCAAAGGACTCCAAATGACACATTTCCAGCCACATTGCTGAGAAACAGTTTTCAGTTCCTCACACCAAGGTTGGTGCAGGCCTTGGGTGAGCTGCAAATATTCATATGCAAAACTCTCCCTTGTCCAAAAAGTGTTGCAGTAAATGGGGTGAAGCAGCCCCGTGGTGATGAGCGTGGTGAGACACCCTGAGCTGCCTGTCTGGGCAGGAGAAGGGGAACTGGCTCATCCACAGGCAGCTCTGCTCCTTTACGTGGAGTTTATTCCTCAGTGCTGTAACCTTTGCTCCTCTGCAGCCTGCAGGAATTCCCACCTGACACAACACTAGGGATGGCACACACTGGGGGGATGGAGATCCCGATGGACCTCACAAATGACAAGTTTTGTTATTTTCACTCCATTTAAAGTAAGGTTGGAGAGATTTCTCGACCAAGGTGTTGGCACTAAGCTACCACATGACTGAGAATGAGAATCACCCCTAAAGCTACAAACACTCTCTCCAGAGTGCTGGGTGGGAGTTACAGGCAAACAGCTGGAGGGTTTAAGGGCTGGTGCCTGGGAGGAGCTGTACTCACCCCGAGCCCTGCAGCTCCTCGAGGTTGGAGGCGTTCCACTCGGAGCCCTGCAACAGCCACAAGCACACGTTTCCAAGGAGCCCCAAAGCAGCCCCTTCCCCTCAGGTTCTGCAATCCCTCAGCCCCAGCCTTCCTCCTGAACTGCCAACTGAAATGTTGGAAAAGGCCTCTGAGACAGAAAAATGCCATCAGCAGGTGTCCTGTCCTGGGCAGGGACCTGCTGGAGGAGGGGACAAGGAGACAACTCACTTACAGAGTTAGTTCTAGGCCAGTGTGTGACTGAGCTCATCCCAAATCACTGTCTCTGGCCACTCTGGATTTTTTAACACAGGGATAAACAGTGCAGGGGAAGAAAGTGATTATACCTGTGATCCCAGTCATGCCACACATGAGAACTGAGGCAAATCCTGAAAGCTCTGGAGGTGTTTACTCCTTGGATTCCCCTCACCTTCACAACAGAAAGCTTAAAACTGCTTAAAAAGGAGATTTTGCCCTCAAACACGGGCACTTCCTCTGATTCTCTCCAGAACAACAACAAAAAGACCCAATGGGCACAACTGAGTTCATCTCCAGGAAGCCTTTGTTCCAGAGGCAGTGCCTGGTTTTGCCTGGAGTACCATCTAGTGGCAAAGGATTGGATGCAGCACAGCCCAGCTCTGCTGGAACTCAACACTTACCAGGTATAAATGATCAAAAATCAGAGACGGTTTGTCCATCTGACCCAGGATTAGCAGCATTTCATTGTCTATAAATTCCTTGAATTCCTTCAAGTTGCAGTTCATGTGTTTCTCCAGCTCGTTTCGGATCTGCAGAGCACAAAACAAAGGATGGCACTGGGACCGTGGTGTTCAACAGAAACATTGCTGGCACTTCCCTGCAAAACACTTTCCTGTCCTTCAATAAAAACAGCAACAGGGATTTGGCATCCTGACATCCTAAGCCCCCAAATTGAAAAGCTGTAAAATAAAGTTGCAGATAATATCAGAGAACAAACAAAAAAAAAAAATCTACCTTGGGTACCTGATTCTTAAAAATAATAAACTGAGAGAGGAAAAACAAGACCTTGCAGAGCAGTGAACAAATAGTGAGACCCATCAGAAGCAAGGAGTGAAAGTGGTAGCAGAGAGAGATTTCCAGTACTCTCCCATTTTAAAATGGGACATAACATCCTCTCCCTGCCCTCAGCTTCTGGCTGGGGCAATGCAAACCCACACCATTTTATTTTAACCCACTGTGGAAAATGGCTGCAGCAGAACCAAAGCATCTTGTGTGCACCAGGAACGAGGAACATGTGCACAGACAGACGAGTTCTCAGCTTCCTCCTACCACTTGCATGCTAATAACCTCCCTTAAAAAACAAAAACTCAGCCCAAAGTGATCTATTTCCACTCTGAATGTCTGCACTGCGGGTGGATGTATTTCACCAGCCTGGGGGATGGATCCCAAAGAACTTCAGCTTTGACTTGTGATTTTCCATCTATAAACTCACCAGCAAAATGCTGTCTGCAAGGTCCTCTGACAGGAAAAAAAGGAAATAAAACCTTAAAACCTGACTTGAAAGTCACACACTTGTTACTAAAGTCCTGAAAAACATGTTTTGATGCTGATATTATCCTGATTTCTCAGGAGAGAGGTGAAGCAAAGCCAGAGCAGAGTCTTTACAGAACAGCTGGAATGCACATTCCAAAGCCAATGACACCCAGGGATACGGTGCCTCCTCAGCACTCTCTGGAAAGGGAGTCTGGCAGGAAGAATAAGAGCGAGAATTTTTCTATTTACCTCCTTAGAAGTCACATTTTCCAGGTCTTTGCTCGTCATGATGCTCCGGAGTTTGGCTTTAATGAGCCGTTCTGTCCGTTCCCTTTCCGTGGGCCTGGAAGGGAACAGGAACAGGAGAGGAAGCTCCAGGCTGGCAGCAAACACACAGCGCTGCTGCCCAGCACTGAGGGGTGGGGGGGAAAGGTTCGTGGTCAAGGCAATTTTGGGGAGAATAATGGAAAAAAAAACACATTTGAAGCCTTTTATGAAAAGGAAATGAACCAGGTGAGGAAGAAGAGGGAGAAGGGGATTTTTATGTGAGCCAAGACTTTTCCTAATCCATTCCAGCACTGACTTGTCAACAAAGAGGGCGGGAGAGTCGGGGCGGGTGGACTCCAGGTCCTGCATGGCGTTCCACTCGTTGATGCAGCTCTGGTCAGAGCTGATGCAGCTCTCGTAGTAGGTGGCCCAGACCAAGGCCACCCCTCCTGGGAAGTAGTTGTACCTCCTGGCAACCTCACAGGCTTTGTGGAGGATCTGTAAAGCAGACCTGCAGGTTGGGAGAAGAGATTTGTGCAGCTGTGAGCAGCAGGAACAGACAGAGCAGGATCTGAAGATTTTCACAGAGAAAAAACGATTTTTAGCATTATTTGTTGTGGTTTGCTCTTTGAGAGCAGCAGATTTATGGAGCTCAAAGAGGGCACAAACTGCACCTTGGAGGCTCCTCACAGCAGGGCCAAGTCAGAGGCTGAAATCTTCTCCTGATTAGCAGGGAATCAGGAGGCACAAGTCCCTCTGGGATCTAATCATCATCCAACTTGTACAGCCAAAGGAAAATAAAGAACAGGGACAATTTTCAAACCACCTCCAGCAAGGAGCCTGATGCATATTTACCAGCATTCCTGGCCCCTGACAGGCTCCAGGGACCAGGCCCAGATTGGGTCATTTGTTTTTGCAAATTCTAGCATTACTTTTTCCTTCCTTCCCTCCTCAATTTTTTCTTTCCTTAAGGCTCCAAACTCGTTGTACTGAACATATCAACCACCTCCAAGGCGACCAAGCGCAAAAAACGACAGCAGAAAGTTTCACTTGTTTCTGTACCAAATCATCCCCAGCACAACACCCCTTGGCTCCTCTTTTCCCTGTGAAATGCTGCTGGGACAGGGATCTCTCCAGGCTCCAAGGGGAGCCAGCACACTGCCCAGGCCCAGGGAGATGCAGTTCCATGCAGGGCTGGGCAGCAGCCTCTCCAGGGAGGAATGTGCTGGCACAGCCACTGCTGACTCAGCCACCTCTGCTTCAGGGGTTTGGAATCCCTGCACAGGGGAGGGGTGACAGGAGCTGAGAGGTGAACAAGCCCCTGGAGAGGCAGGAACCCCAGGAATGAGGCAGGACACAGGGAATGCCACAGTTTGGCAGTGAGTCCTGAGCCTCCTCCGTCAGCTTGGGAGTGAAACATGCAGAGGGAGGAAATTCTGGGTTTGCAGCCCGATGAATTCAAGTTAATCTTTCATATTTATTCATCTCCCTGGCGCCACTTCCCTCTCACTGAAGGGCCCAGAGCTGCTGTGAACTGAAGCAGCAGTTCCTGGTTTCGGATTGGGATTCCCACAGTCCCTTAATAGCCCTGCTGACACAGGGAAGCAGATCCCTGCTGCACCCACTGAATACCAGTTTATGGAGAGTTCTAACATGCAGTTGGTTGGTTGTTTTTGATGACAGAGGACAGTGTCTGTGCCCCCAGCCCCTCAGCACACCTACCACATGGCCTGCACTGACACAGGTTTGAAGATGTGCATCCTCCCCGCTGTGCTCACACTGAAGCCACTGCAGAGAGAGGGGAAAACGCGTCACAAACTGCTCCTCTCTGCATCACAAACCGCTGCTCCCAAGCAGCTACTGGGACACTCACAGTCCAAAAGAATCAGGGAGGAGAATTTCTACCTCTGATTTTCCAACACCCTCCCACAAATAAGAATGGCAAGAGGACACCCCTCCCAGCACAGGCTGCCAGGAATGGGAGCTGCACCCCTGGAGTGGGATTTCAGAGCATTCCCGGGGTACCACAGGTCCCACCGAGCAGTGTGAGGGCAGCAAGGCCAAACTCACTGAGTGAATAACGGACTGGAGCCATGAATCCAAAATGGGAACTTTCTGTGCAAGGCGACAGGGAATCTCTCCTAGAGCAGCCCCCAAGCAGGGAAGGACATTCACATTTATCCTGTTAATGTGGTTTCTTACCCATCCCCATCAAGATGGATTTTGGTGTCACTCCACAGGCGAAGAACCATTCCTATAGTGCAGCTTTTACTGGAAGAGAGATGGTTACACAGGATGTTAGATATAGGCCACGATGTGGTCACACCAATAGCCTAAATTATTAACACTCTTTAATTTTTAAAATCCTCAAGCCTTCCTCTAGTAATCCTTAGTAATATTTTAGGCAGCTGCCCACTCTCTGCAAAGGGCACCCCAGGGGCCTGTCAAGTTCCAGTTGTGCTCCCTCCCTCTGCCTGATACAACAGACAAAAAGGGACTCTGGGGGTTTATCTGACCCAAAAGAACACCTTCAGCTCAGAGATGAAATCTGGCAACAAAGCCCTACTATAATGAGGGCCAGCAATTTCCAACTAGTAAATCATTAAGCTACCAAGATATTCAGGTTTTAAAGGAAATTTGGAGGCACACAACAACAGAACTCAGGTTTGGTTTGCTCTTTTCCTTTCTTTTTTTAAGCCTTCAGCCACTTTTTACAATGGATTTGACAGGTCAGTCTAAGCACACATGTGGACAATGTGCACTTTAGAGCTTTGCAAGTTAAAAAGGATTTTATTAAGCACATGTAAGAGGAATAAAAGCACCTCACTAGTGAAGTTCTCAGCAGGGAGAACATTTACAGCTCAGCAGCGACATCTCAGCCCCAACACAAAGCCACAGAGTCACTCAATGAAGTCACTACTGCCAAATGACCTCTTTATGCACCCCTAATCAACAAAAACTCTGGGTGTTGGGGAGCCACTCATTGAAATGGCAGCTGTCCCTACAGCTGGGATGGATTTGTCACAACTTTTCCATCTGTCTTCTCGTCTCACATCCATAATCACCAGGAGCAAATTACTGCAAGGCTGTTTCAGGTTAGAAGTGACAGTGCAAACCTGCACTGCTCTGGCACACCAAGGGAATGCCACACGGGAATTTCTTCTATAACACTAACAACAGGAATTTCAGAGCAGAACAAGAGGCAGCATCAAAGCAACGACAATAAACTTATGAAGAAGGCATGGCCAGGAGCTTCCCCACAGATCTCTCTGCTGTGCAAGCTTCCCCTTTCCACTGGAAACCACCAGTAAGGTTTTCCAAAATTAAACAAAACTCACAGTGCTGCACCAGCACGACAGGGAGGCCTGTTAAATCATGGGAGAACAGACACAACAGCCTGGCAGCTCTGACTTCTGACTCCAGAAACCGGCCCCATCTCCCCCAGCCAAGAGCGTTTCTGCCTTAGTTTACTCACCCAGGACTGGGATAATCTGAGAGGGGCCGCGATAACAAAATATTTCCCTTGCTTTGCCAAATTCTCTTATCAGTCAGACAAAAGGAACAGCTCGTTACTGACACGGTTGTTTGTTGGCTTTGGAGCTACTTTTGCAGTATTGTTTTTTGACATTATTTGGCAACTAAGCTACTCCCCCAAACCGGCTCCATTGCATCATCCCATCAACAGACTTGAGTCTGGTGGAGAGAGCAAGTTCCAGCTTTGCACATGTGTCTGCAAGAGCATTTACAGGGAGCAGGCAGCAAACTCCCACTGCTGAGGTGGATGCCACATCCCTGCAGCTGGATCCTACATGCCTGCTATACACTCCAAGAGGACTGCAAGCTTTCTGGAATAAAAATGTCAGGAAACTCAATGCACATCCTTCCTCTTGCTCGGATTTGCAGACTCACGTAAACCAACTGCTCAGGGGCAGGTTGGTGTGGACAGGCTCTCCAGCAGAGCTCAGCCTGCCTGATTCCCGAGGCTGCCATACCTCTCCTTGCTGGAGAAATCCACCCCCAGCAGGATGTTCTCCTCGGTGTCCTGGCGCCCGCTGCTGTACACGACCACCATGTACCGCACCCGGTCCGTCCACACGCTCTCCAGACGTACAGCCTGCAAACAGGGAGCCAGGCCTGCTAATTACCTTCTGGCTAATTAATATCCCGTTGCTGCCTCAGAGTTTTTAAGGTGTGATTGCACCCCAAAGCTTTATTTAGCTGCAGTCTGAGACACAGCAAGGCTCGCTGCCAGTTTGACTTGGCATTGGAGGGGGAGAAGATCAGCTGGGATCATCTGCTCCAGCCTGGGGGAATGCTACAAAATGTAACCCAAAGGTTTGTTCCAAAGAGTTTCAGCCAGGAGGTGTAAAAGCACTGGTCATGCACTGAACTGAGAACGTGCAGAGGACTGTCCCACTCACAAGCCTTCACTGCAATGTGCCTGTGCAGGAGGGAGAACTGACATGCACTTCTCTGCAGTGACTTTTGCAGCAGATTTTTATCTGTAGATTTCTTTAAAAGAAAGCCCAGCCTCATGTGATGCAACTTCAAGGCTGACTTAAAAGTGTCCACAAGCATCAGCAAGCTCCTGTCTCTCCTCCTGTATTCAAGTTTTGAAAATTAAATCTAACAGAACAACACATTTCAGAGAGAGCCAGTTCCCTGGTCCAACTCATTACCTGGATGTAAAGACCAGGGCAAGAGGAGTGGACAGGAGAACATGGTAGGGCTGGGAAACAGCACAGAGTTAAAAGGCAGCTCTGAAATCCAGGATCCACCAATGCTTTTCCTGATCCTCTACAGGTCTGTTTCAAACACTTCCAACAGAAAGGAGAGCAGGAAAATGCACCTGTCCTTACCAGTTTGATCCTGTCCTCACAGCGAAGGAGGTTGATCATCACCTGGAGGTGCTGGGGCAAATCACCTGCAGAGGAAGCAGAGAAATCATCAGAAAAGAGGCTCTTGCTGCACTAAGAATCAGCAGAGCCTTGACCTTCAAAGAAATTGGATGTTTCTCAATCCAAAAATACCGATTAAGGGAGGGCAATTAACTTTGCTGCTCCAGAGAACACCAGCAGCAGGGAGATTCCTGGATGAGCACTCTCTGGCTGTGTGAGAACCCAACCAGGGGCCTGGGCTGGGCGATGGAGCCCTTCCTTCTCAAAGCTCTGGAGTGGTGGGTACATTTGCTTGAGGAAAGCAAACCAAAGGAAGAAGGAATCTACAGGAAAACAAACCAAGTTCCCATCTAATAACTGAGTCATGCACTCATAATTTTCCATGAGAGATAAAATTCCTTCCGTAGGATGTCTGCTGGGCATATGGAATTGCTGACAATTAAAGAAACCCAAAGCCAAGCTTGGCATTCAAACACCCCCTTTGTGCTTGGAGTGTTTACTAAGCAGCAGCCACACAGTACCACACTGTGCCTTTCCCACATGCTCCTGCTCTCCAAGTGCCCCCAAGATCTTATTTCTTCTTGCCCAGTGACCACAAATTCCAAAAGTCTGTCAAAGACAGAAGGTATAAAATCACTGGAAAAGCAGAATCCACTTCCCTGAGCCCCCTTATCTGCTTATCAATCCTGGTGTACACTCACCATACCCCTCCCCTACCATTTCTTCCCACCAGTTTGGCACAGTGGAGGGGACTGGGGGAAGGACAGCCTGTTCTCAAACCATGATAAACTCTCACAGGTCAGATTGTGGGGAGTTAACAGGAAAGGGGGTTTTCCTGAAATCAGGAAAGGGGATACGAGCAGCTACCCAGATGCCCAAATCCTGATGAAACATCTCTTACCATGACCAGCAACATCAAACAAAACCAGCAACAGGGAATTTCAAAAGAAAGTCCCAACCTCTGAACTACTGGAGGCTGGGAGAGCACTTGGAGAAACGTCCCTGCTGAGCTGAACAGCCCTTCCCTGCCCAAAGAGAGCCATGCGAAATGCTGTGATTTCCACAGAGAATAAATAAGCTTCTACTCCAGTCACAGTTCCAATACATTGATAAAAGTTTAAACCAAGACTCAATAATCCCACGTTCCCATTTGAAAGCCTGGGTTTGCTCAGCAGGTTGTACAAAGCTCACCAGGACAATGTGGGGAGTCACCCACCCCCCACCCACGTGTGTCACCAGCCCATCCACATGGATGGGATGGAAAAAGACACTCCAGAGGGGATTTCATCCACTACCTGCATGTTTGTGAGGGTGTTGGAGGCTTCGCTGGCCCTGGGAGCTGTTTCCTTGCTGTAGGAAAAGGGCTGCTCCTTTCACCATGAAAAAGCTCTCGCTGAGGCTGGAAAACAAATGACACAGGAGTGAACTGAAAGGAAACAGCAGCAGAACCTGCACAGCTGGGCAAGGAAGGGCTTCCCCCACTAAAACATAGCAGGATTTTGCCATGAGAAGCTGTTCCCAGAGGTTGATCCTGCCACTTGCACCGCATGGCTCCAGGATTATTCATGGATTATTCATGTGTCATTTTCCACCACCGTGTTATTACTTGGCCACTGCAGGAGATCCTTTCCCTGAGCTGTCATGGGCTGGAAATGACTTTATCACTTGATTATTGAATTCTGCAACTGAAAAGCAGCAGAGGGTAGGACTTGGTACAGGCTCAGACCTGCAACAGGACTTAGGAGCGGGTTCGGAGTCCACCAGTTCCTGCTCATTTCAGTTCTTGGGATTTCTTTGGAATGCAAAAACAAGAACATGAAACTGTGTAAAGAGGAAGGGAGGGAGGGCAGATGGAACCTGCACATCACAAGGGAAGGGAAAGGGCTCTGAACCCTCTAGGGAAAACAACCAGCACAACTGCAGAAGTTTTGCTTTCCCTGGAGCGTCCGGGGAGGAGGCAGGACACGGGTTGGGCAAACACCACGGCATTCCCAGAGGCAAATGACACATAGGGCCTGGAACATACCAGAGGAGAAGGTGGAACAGCACTGGTGGGGAGAGCAGGCACCAGCACAGCCCAATTCCACAGTGCCCTGACCCACACAAGCACTTGGGGAACGGTTCAGAAACAGATCTGGCCATGAGCAGTGAAGTTGTAATTCCCACATGGCTGAAAATCCCCTCTCCTGAGGAACCTTTGAGCTGCCACAGGAACTGCTTACTCTGCATTTCCTCCACTCACAAACAGCAAAAGAGCCATTTCTTCTTACAAAGCCCCATTTTCTGCCACCCCATGCTCCCAACCACAGCTCCTCATTAATTACTGCAGCTACCAAACAGAAATGTTCCATTATCAGGTTGTGCTGCACAGGAGTTACTTCTGCTGCAGCAAATGATCCCTCTGGAGTTACTGCTCCCAGCACTCATCTATTCCATACCTTATCCAAGGTCTTTGCCTTGGGCAGGAGTGAGCCCTAATGCTCCCAATGCTCTGTTCTCCCTCAGTGTTTTTGAGAGGATAGACATGAATTTCATGTCTTTTCAGATTTTGCCATCTCTAGGAACACAGCCCAGGTTCCCAGGCGAAGCTTCCTCCTTTTCCAACTGAATTTCAAGGTGCAGAACCCCCAGAGAAAATCTGGACCAGGTTTAAATTTGAACTTTTAAAAAGTGAATTAAAAACTTCTACCTAGATTTCAGGCTCCACAGGACCAGTAAAATGCAGCAGGAGAACTGCACTGTAATTCCAACAGGCTTTTCTCCATTCCCATTTCTGCAGGATCCCAGCACTCACCCCTCACTTCCCCAGCTGTGTCTGGACAGGAGTCCTCGGGGTTTGCTGCTCTGCTTGGCCTGGCTCCTGCTCCCAGCGGGAATGCGGCTCATTCCCAGAGCCAGCCAGGAAGAGCCTTGTTTCCTTCGCACCCCAGAGCTCACAGGAAAGCGTTAAAAAAGGCCAGAAATGACACAAAAGCAGCGACCCCAACACAATGTATGGAATATTCAGCTGCACGCACACTCCAGCAGGAGGAAGGGAATGGTGAGGTAATGCACAAGGAGGTAATTCACAGCATTTCCATCATGAGAATTTGGGAAAATTAAAAAGGATATTTTTTTATCACTAATAAAGTACTGCCTAGGATTTTTTCCAGCAGGAAAAACCTTGGAAAAGGTAGAGCTCCTTCCCAAAGACTTCAGGAACTCCTGCTCTAATGGTTCATCTCACCTGACGTTCTCTCTCCTGCATCAGGAAATCGGTTACAATAAAGCAGAGTATTCCCAGTAGCAGGAAAAGGGAAAGCTGTGCTGCTGGAGCAGAAAGCAGTCGCAGGAAAAGGACAACCCAAATTGCAAAGGTTTTCTCCCTGTGGATTCCTCTGCCTGGAAGTGAACTGGGAAGCAAAGCCCAGAGCCTGCTGAGAGCAGGATTTCTGTTTCAGTTTCAGTCCTTGTTCCCCACCCAGACCTCCCGTAGCCCCAGCATTCCCAATCTCCACACAAGCTCCCATTTCCACAGTGCCGGACACAGGTAACACACCCCAACACCTCTGAGCACAAACTCAGAGCTTACATCACATTGTAACAACAACATTACCCACACGCCCCTTATCTCCACTCTGGGAACACTCCCTGCTCTCAGTCCCTTCACACAACTGCTCCGAACACAGCTGAGCGAGAAAGGCAAGGTACAATATTCCAACCCCCTTTTAAATCCTGCAGATCCAGTAAGCAACTAAAACTCTGGCCTTTTGAAAAAAAAAAAACACAACAAACCTCCTAAAGAACAGCCAAATCCTGCCATTAAAAGAACAGCCCCAGCTCTGCCCCTCGGCAGCGGTGCCAGATGCCCCAAAGCAGCACAAGCCAGTGGCTCATACATACAAATTCGGGCTGGTTTTCTTTGCACAGCAGCAGCATCGTGCTGGCCCCAGCGTCAGGCAGAAGCCAGGAAACTCGAAAAGATTCATAACTAGCTATAAAACTCACATCCTTCTGCTTCTGAACCCATAAAAGAAAAGAAGGCAAAGAAAAGGTCGACCGTATATTGTGTGCGGAGCAGAGAGATCGCGGCTGGTGATGCTCCCCGGGAACTGGATGGCTTTTAGAGAACACTGTGTCTTCCACTGATATCCTGCCTTGAAAAAGCACTTGTCCCAACACATCCTGATGAAAGAGGGCCATTCAAGAGGGGAAACAACCAGCTGAGGCTCGTCTAATCATTTCCCTCCTCCAGACTTGTTTGTTTGTTTGCTTCCCCCCTCGTGCTCCTCCGGAGGCAACGCAGCTCCTTCCAGCACCCACACAGCCCCTCGCTGTGGGAAGTCCATATTCCCTGGGACAGGACTGGAGGAAAAGCCTCCTATCAACTGGTGCCTGTTCATTCCTTTATGATTAAAGCACTGCAAGGCACCACTGTGATACAGATACAGCAAACTAAAACGGTCCTTTCCTCACTGTACAACTCCCACATTGGGCTTTCAGAGTGACTCCTGAGTTCCTGAGCTCCTGCTGAACAAGGAATTCTCTCGGGTGCCCGGTGTTTGTGTGTTGGGGGCTGGCTGGCACCGAATTCCCTGAAGATTTATCCTTACAGACCCTAATTCTCCAGGCACAAACCGGAATGCCACGCTGGTCCCACCAGCCTGACCAGGGGGAGAACCAGCTCTCTGTTCAGTTTTCACCCAGTTTGACTGGCACACACCACAGAAACCACCCGTTCCCCGGATGCCCTGCCAGGAATCCTGACCAGCACAGCTACTCTACAAGGAGTCACTTCAGGCCCTCAAATAAATGCAGAGCCCACAAGTTTTGAGCAGCCCTGGGATCCTGGAGCTCCAGTACAGCTGCAGATCAGTCCTCCTTCCATTCCCTAAGCTCAGCTCACAGAACACATGGAATTATCTCCCTGAGGGAGGTAAAACCCTATACTTCCAGCAGCTGGGAAATGCCAGGAGGCAGCTACAGTCCCTTCTGCACCCAGGGACTGGCAAGGAGAGGGTGCTCATGGCCACAGCGCCATGGAGAGCCGGCTCCAGCGGCTCTTGCTCCATCCGGCGGCTCCGTGCTGCTCAACTTGAAAAGGAAATATTTCTTTCCCTTTGGGAAAGCTCCAGAGAAGCGTGGCTGCAACACACATCAATCACATCTCGAGTTGCTGAAGAACACAATAGGCAGCGCCTTCTCGGCGGTACAAACCACCCCCTGGCTCCAGGAGCGAGAAATCTGTTGAAAATACTGGATTTTGGGAAAGGACAGCTTGCTTTGCCATCGTGGCTCCAGCGTGTCCCAGAAAGAATCCTGGCATGCCTTGGGTGTTGGAGTTTCATGGTTTAATGGGAAATCTCACATAAGCTGTGATGATCAGGACAGAAGAAACACCCTTATTGCTACAGAACACGTCAAAATAAATACCCACACTCAGAAGTCAGGAGAGAGAGAGAACCACTTTTCCTGGGAAGCCCCAGCCAAGCCTGAGGTGAGTCAGCAGCCTCCTGCTGCCCTTCTGCAACCAGGTCTGTGTTTAAGGAAAAAAAAAAATAACAACCCCCTGTAAAAAAAGGAATATTCACTTCTCCCAGAACTGGTCAGGATTTTACAAAGGCAAACACAGTAATGCCTTCTAGTTTCTTGGGTTTTATGGCATCTTCTACTCAAAACACTTCCAAACTGATAAGGTGAGGTAAAAAACAGGCCTTCCGAGCACCACAGAACTAAACACCCTTCCCTTTTCCCTAGCCCTGTTGATAAGGAGGAAAAGAACTGATTTTTCCCCCTTTTCTTCTCCCATTTGCTGCTCAGTCTGGAACAAGCCTGGCCACCTCAAGGAAACCAAGCAAGGACACAAAACACAGCCCTGGTGAGGGGTCAAGCCCCCTCAGGTGCTCCCAACCCGGCCAGACCTTTCAGTGTTCCAGAGGTGGATTTTAGGCAGGGCACTGCTGCAGTGAGCAGAGGGAACTGGGATCATCCCACAGCCACTCCGAAACAGTCACACAAACCAAGCTGGGAGCACATCAAACAGAAAGGAAGATACAGGGAGAGGAAGAGCCGGAAGAGTCGGGAGCAGCTGCTCAGGTCCCACTTCCCAAGGCAAGCTGACAGTGGAAGCAGCCAGGCTGCTGGCTTTGGCTGGAGAGAGGCACATCAGATAACACTTCCTGACCAGGATAGGGGCCTTTGGAAGGGGCCTGAACAACACAAACAGCGCCAGGGAAAAGGCACTTCAAAGCTACTCAGTCTCGCACACCTCAGAACAGCCCTGGGGGCTCCAGCGAGTCCCTTCTCCTGCTGTTAATGAAGGACTTTCTGTGTCCAAGTGGCCTTTGCTCCCTGTCACACCAGACATACAGAGCCCAGAGCCACAGAAAGGTTAAATGACACACAGAGGAATCACCCTGATAAACACAGCTGGAGTATCTCCACCCACAACCATCCCTGCTCAACCTGACACGGAGCCAGCTGCCAGCAGGGATGAGCAGCACCTGGAAAGCCCAGTTCCAACATGTGCAATGATGTTTTAGAGCAGTCTTATTGCATACATGTAGAATTTGTGATATGCTGACAAACTCACCTGGGATCAGGACTGTGGGTGCCCAACACACCTTGGAAGGTTGGTGAGAGCTGCTGGGATCACTTGGATTGAGGTGTTTTACCTCTGCCCCCACCTCTGCAGCATCACTTGGATTGAGATGCAGCTTTAGGAGATGTTTGTCTTCTGAAAGCTCCTTCCATCCCCTAAGTCATCATTCCCAGTTTTCCTGAGCTGGAGACAAGTCATCCCCAGAAGAAACCCAAAATGTGAGCTGCAGATCTGATGTTCACAAGGACAACACCTCCCCTTCCTTGGACATCATGCCACGGGACCGAGTTGCCTGCGAGGGGCCCAGGCAGCAACCCTGGCTGAGGGGCGGGTGTCTTGTAACAGCTCCCTACAGGGACAAACATCTTTCCATTGATTTTCAAGGAAGGAGATGGTTGGGCAGGCAGGAAAACCCATCAGGTTTTGCTGCTCTCAGCAGCGCAGTGACCAAAGGGGGGGTCTGAGCACACATTGTTGGCTCAGAGGCGTGGGCCACATCCCGGCGCAGGAATGCGAGAGGGGCCGGAGACACTGCAGGCCATTCACACACACACACTCCTCTGGCACAGAGGGGAGAAAGGGAAAAATGAAATCGATCATGGAGCCCACAGAAGTGAATTTCCCAGCACAAACGGACTGCTGCTGATGTGCCTCCAGCTGTTCCTGGGATGCATCAGGATGGAGCAGTCACCGGCAGGGTTCCGTACGGAGCCAAACTGGCTCAGCCATGTGTGCCCCGTGCTGGGGGTACCCCACGACCCGGGCTGTGCCTGCAGGCAATGCTGGAACAGCTGGGATAAACCTCCAAAAGACAGGGCAGGAAGAGGGAAGCAAACAAATCAGCAGGATCATCCCCATTCCAGCAGACTTGTGCAGAGTGAGTTACCAGAACTGCTCCCAAACGGCCAGGAATGAGAAAATTCTAGGAATCCCTAGTACTTGGATGGGGAAAAGCCAAATAAAATAAGAGGCTGTTTCACAAGGAAAAAGAAATCCTTTCTGCTCATCCCATTAATCGCAGAGTTCAAAAAGGCACGAGGCTGATCCCGGCATCAACTCAGCGACGTGATGGGCTTGGAACTCTGAGCAGCATTTCTGACATTCCCACTGAAACACGATGGCAGTTTTGTGACAGCCACTGTCTCAGAAGGCCAGGCCAGATCCTTTCCCTGCATGAGCTGTTGGGAAGAACCGCTCCTTTCCCTCTCAGGAGTATTAACCCTATGGAGCCACCCAGTCCCTGTGTCCCTAGAGTTCACCCAGGACTGTCCCCATCCCGCTGTGCCAGCCCAGGGCTACTCCACCCCACAATGGGGGCTGAGCAGTGCTGCTCCACACAGCCCCATGAAGCACCTCCTGCTTGCCTGGACACATAGATTCAAAGGATAAGGCTATGGAAGGCAGCAGCTGGCATAAGGAAAGAGCAAGAGGCACATACAGACATTCCAGCATCGGCAACAACATGGATTTCCCTGTGCACCTTCAGCTGTGCAGCATCCTGCTGGCTCCCTTCTGCCCTCACACCAGAAGACACCCTGTGTTTTCCTACAGGTCACTTTTTTGGAAGTTGTTGCCATGTCAGTGCCATGGCTGTTCCATGACCTCAGGTAGAGAGGAGACAGCCCACAAGCCCTGGCGTTGTCCCAGAGCCATGTCCAAGCTGGAGGAGAGGTGGGATGATGCCCCATAGAGGGACAGAACTCCCGGGCAGGAGTCGACCCTGCCCTCATCCTCCTCCCCAGCGGAGCCATCGGCACACCCCCATCCTCCTGCATTCCTCCTGTCAGCTCGTTGTTTCAGTCCTTCCAACTATTTCCTTAAGTCACCCCACTGCACCCACTCAACAGTGTCTCCCAGAGACAGCCCAGGGAAACAAGTGGAAACTCTCCAGTGGTGCCACAGGGAAAGAAAAGGAAGGTGAACAACAGTTTGGAGGATTAAGAGAGCAGCTTTCAGGTGGTGTGAGCAAAGGGCAGCCAGGACACAGACAACAGCATCGGGAGCGCGACTGAGAGCCCTGGTGGCACAGCAACCCAAAAAACAGCTCAGCTGCTGGGCTTCAGGAGGACTCCAAAAAAGGTAGCCCAGAGCAGGGAGTACTTGACACACTGGTAACACAGAAAAATAAAATAAACTAAATCCAGAGGGATCACACGGGGTAAAAGCAGAGTGAGAAAAGTTCTGACTCAACCCTGACACCTCCCCGAGGGTTTAACTTGACCACAGCCTGCCCTCCCAGCTCCCCGGGGGAACACAGCCAGCACCCCAAAAATCAGGACACTGCCAGGCAGGGGCAAAGCTCATGGTAAAAGTGTGTTGGTAAACACCTCGGGATCACCCTGCCATCCACTCCAAATCCATCTTTTACAATCCCAGAATGCAGAGGGAAGCAGACAGTTGGAATCCAAAAGGTTTTGCAGGGCTGGGAGGGAGATGCCCAGCCATGGGCAGTGCTCTCCGCTGGGATACGAGCGTTGGATGTGACCATTTGGATGGCAGTCAGGGCAAACAAGGAACCTGGCAGCTTCCTGGGAAATCTGAAAGGCACAGTTTGTCCCGTTCCCTGCAGTTCTGGCTGACTTGGTCTGTGATGTGAAGCCCCAGAGGTTTCCTACCCAGCTGCCTTCACCAGTGGTTCTTGCAGCAGGATTCCTTCAGGAAGCTAAAATTTTCAGAGAGGGAAGTTCTACAGAGGAGAGTCCTGATCCCAGATAAACCTGAACAACTACTGGATGCAGTGTGCACCCTAATCCATTTGAATCTGGGCTTATTTGTGGCTTATTTTGCTTCTTGATTTGTGCAGTGGCAAAGCAATTCTGCATCAGGGATTTAAATGCTGCAAAGAGATGTGTAAATGTTTGGGAAATAAACTCAGCACTCTTGGGAAATAAACTCAACACTTTCCATTAGAAGTAAAGCCAGACCTAGGAAGGTGTTCTATCCATTGCACATTGTCCAAAAATATCTTAGCACCACTTGCCAGGCAGACCACAGCTCTGATTTGTATGAGAAATCCCTGACTCACAGATCTTGGCAGACGATTATCAAAGATTAAGATATTTAAAATCAAGAGGCATTTGGAACCAAAATATTGTTCTGACCCAGCTCTAACACCTAAATAAACAGTGACCAAACTGGCCTTTTACAGAAACAAATGTTCAGTGCACAGCCAGCACCTCTGATAACAGGGCCAGTTGGTTTGGGTTCTGCCAAACTGCTGAGGTTTCAT